AAACTCAAGGACTTTATTATAAATACTTGCAAAATTTCTAACTAACAATTATAGTTTATATAATTATATAATATACTATTACATAAATATGTCCTACAATAAGGGAAAAAACCTACAAACAATCTGATTGAAAAACAGTCACAGAGGCGCCAGGGTGGCTCAGTCACTTAAGTGTCAGAGTCTTGATTTTGGCTCAGGTAATGATCTCAGCGTTGTGAAAATGAGCCCTGCTTTGGGCTCTGCACTAGGTGTGGAGCCTACTCGGGATTCTCTCTCACTCCCTCTTCCTCTGCCCCCTGCCTCAAAATAATTTTTAAAAAAGAAAGAGAAATGGTCACAGGATAGGAACATATAATTTGCCGAAGTAGAAATTGTTAATAACAATTTCATACAGTTAATAACTGTATGAAAAGAAGTTCTGCCTTGGGGCGCCTGGGTGGCTCAGTGGGTTAAAGACTCTGCCTTCAGCTCGGGTCATGGTCTCAGGGTCCTGGGATCGAGCCCCGCATCAGGCTCTCTGCTTCATGGGGAGCCTGCTTCCTCCTCTCTCTCTGCCTGCCTCTCTGCCTACTTGTGATCCCTCTCTCTGTCAAGTAAATAAATAAAATCTTGAAAAAAAAAGAAAAAAAAAGTTCTGCCTCACTTGTAATCATGAAAATGCAGTTTAAAATGACAATGTGACAAGGTGCCTGGGTGGCTCAGTTGGTTAAGTGTCTGCCTTCGACCAAGGTCATTATCCCAGGATGGGATTGAGTGAGCAGGGAGCCCTCTTCTCCCTCTCCTTCTGCCTCTCCCCTCTGCTGGTGTGCTCTCTCTCTGAAATAAACAAAATCTTTTTAAAAAATGACAGTGTGACAGAAATTCACACCTATCAGATTGGCAAAAATTAGTCTGATATAATCAACATTGTTAAGGATTCTTGTAATTGCTAATGGATATAAATTGGTACAACTACTTTGAAGTGCAATATGGTAGTATTTATCCAAATTCATATCTACAACTTGGCAATTTTATTATCTAGATACATTCCTAAGAAAAATACCAGAAGACATGTACAAGAATGTTTACTGCAGCATTTTCCATAATCGCAAAAAAAAAAAAAAAGCCACTCTTTTTGAAATCATTTTGGCTGTTCCAGATCCTCACATCATTTGGACCTCTGCCTCCCTAAGGCAGAAGTGAAACAAAGGTAATACTGACAGAAAAGGAAGATGTGCTAGAAAATGAACTGAAATTCCATGAACCTCAGGGGGGAAATCTTTGAAGTGCAGATATCATAGGAGAGTCTTTTAAATACTGAAAGTTTTGTGAACAGTAAAAATTTACCATGAACTAGCACTGATCAGGAAATTAGACTAGATATTCACTAAGTTTCCACTAGCCTGAACATTCTGTAGTTTCCATATCTATTTAATATTCTGTATTATGCATGTAGTTCCTATTTATGTATTTCCCATGACATTGCACACTCTAATTGCACAAACTTTTTGAGTATAATAGTGAATTCATATTATTCTCATTTAACTCCTAGATGAGTGCTTCATGCAAAGAATAACTGGGAGGAATAGTTAGTGTTCTCATCTCATATCCAGATCTGCATGGAAGTAATTCCAGTATCTGCTTTTCCTAATACATAGGATAAAGTATATTAGTTAAAAACTTGGACTCTGGAGCCAGGCTGCACTGTTTAAAAACCTAACTCCTCCACTTAATTAGCTTCATAATCCTGGGAAATTATTTGTCCTCTCTGTGCTTAGGTTATTTCCACCTGTAAACAGAGAATTGTAAATAATAGGTTTTCTCCTAGAGTTGCTTGAGGTTTAGGAATGAAAGTATGTAAAGTGCTTAAAACAATGTAAACAATTAAGACAACGTAAACCACAAAGTATTATATAGATTTTATCTATTATTAACAGAATGGCTTCAATCCTGAGAGAAGCATGTAACTCATGATGCTTCAGGGGGAAGAAGAATGAGAGACGAAGTTATCCTTAAGGTTTTTTTTTTTTTTTCATTTTTAAAAATTTTCTTTTTTATTGTATTATTATTTTTTTCTTTTATTTTTTTATAAACATATATTTTTATCCCCAGGGGTACAGGTCTGTGAATCGCCAGGTTTACACACTTCACAGCACTCACCATAGCACATACCCTCCCCAATGTATTATTATTTTTTAATGTAGGCTCCTTGCCCAAGGTGGAGCCCAATGCAGGGCTTAAACTCAGGTCCTTGAGATCAAGACCTAAGCTCAAGTGTCAGATGTTTAACCAACTGAGCCACCCAGGTGCTCTTCTTTAAGCTTTTTGAAACAAAGAATATATATGTGTATATATATTATGTATATATATCATATATATGCATCATATATATATATGAGATATAGTTATCTATATCTATCTTTCTATATCTATCTATCTATCTATCTATATCACCTATCACCTTTCATTTTCCTGCTTCCCCTTTGAATTCAGAGGTTCTTAATTAAGAAGGTATGGAGTCCTCTCTTTTGGTAGAAATATTTGTGGCAACATACTTTCCTACCATTATGTTTATGTCATTATCACCAGCTGCTGCTCTTTTTTTCAGGCTGGACGGCAAGTGGAAGCAGAGCAGGCCTATAAGTACACAATGAAGGTATGATTTGTCTGTACTGTACTGAGGTTGGGCAGTTGGGAAGAAGATGCTGGCTTGATTCAGGACTTCAGAGCATTCCATCATTTCATATTGTGAATATTTTTCTAGAGGCTCTTCTTATCATCTTTGCCATTATCATAGTGCTGCTGGGGGTTTGGAATAACCAAGCCACCCAGGGTGCCACCCCCCCCCCTTTTTAAAGATTTTATTTGAGAGAAAGAGCAGAGCTAGAGAGAGAGCACAAGTGTGCAGGTGGGGGAGGTTTCTACCTCTTTAGAGAATTTGGTTTAATGGAAAGACAGATGGCCAGGGTATGCGTAGAACTGAATTATGGTCCTAGTTTTGCCACTAACTTTACTGTGTTAACTTCTTTGATCCTCATTTTCCACATGTACACTGAAGGTATATGGGTCAACAAATTTCGTGTAAAGGGCAAAACAGTATTTTTGGATTTGTGGGCCAAACGGTCTCTATTGTGTCTATTACCCTCTGCCCTTGTAGTGCAAAAGGAGCCACAGACAACACATAAACAAATGAGCATGGTTGTATTTCAAATAAAACTTTACTTAACAAAACAGCAAGCTAGATTTGACTCATAAGCAGTAATCTGCCAACCCCTGCTCTATTATATTATGAATTACAGTTCATAATTAGTGGCTTAAATAAATAAAGTTTTATTTTTCTCATCTAGTGAAAAGCCCAAGGCTGGTACCGGAGCTCCACAATGTCACCAGAGACCCAAACTTTTTTTTCTTTTTTTCCAAACTCTATCTTTCTGTTCCACCAGTCATAGCATGCAGTTCCCATCCTTCACAGTTGCAAGACAGCCATTGTAGCTCAAACCACCATATACATGTTTCAGGCAAAATGAACAAAAGGGAGGAAAGAATAAAGAGGACAGGCTAGCTATTACCCTTCCATTTAAGAAGCAGTGACTTTATGGGAATAAAAGATATAGCATAGGGAATATGGCCAATGGTACTGTAGTAGTGTTGTGTGGTAACAGATGGTAGCTGTACCTGTGAGCACAGTGTAATGTATAGATTTAAAATCACTATGTTGTACACATGAAACATAGTGTGTCAACTATATTCATAAAAAATAAAGATGTTTAATTCACACGTACATAGCATTTGATGGTAAAGAAAATCATTTCCAGAGAAAAGTATCTACTTTGGGTGTGGAGAGGGTGCAGGAGAAGCAATGACCTTGGCCTACATTTCATTGGCCACAACTGGTCATAAGACTACCCCACCCCTAGCTCTAAGAAAAGAAGGATATGAAGCTTTTTAGCTGGCTGCATTCCTGCCCTGAAAAGAAATGAAGATTTTGTTAGAAAGAGAGTGGGTATTCAGTAGGCAACTAAATATCTCTACTACACATCTAGAGGCTAAAAATAAATTCAGATCTGGTATCTGTTTTGTGTCTTTGATTCCTGTGACTTGCCAAACTGGAATATTGTAGAAGATAGACTGGGTGATAATGTGAATTAAACAAACAAACAAAACTATATTATTAAAGTTATTTAACAAAAAATACACAAGTTGTAAATGTTCATACTACTTGAATTTTCATAAAGTGAACATGTCCATGTAATCAGCACAATGTTCTGAGGTCTTTTAACGGAGTCACCATGAAATAGGGAATAAAGGAAGAGCCCAATTTCAGGCCAAGAAACTATATTCTTTAACTGTGGCCCAGTAAATGAAGGGCCTCCATATCGGTATATCAGGTATGATACGTATCCTTCCCTTCCTTCCTTCTCATGCAGCTGAAACTAAAAGATAAGGCTCTGCTTGCAGAAATCCACATGGTACAGGAGGCAGTTGGCTTTGGAAATCCATCTTTCTGACATCCTTCCAGCTGAAGAACTGTGTGGAACTCTGAGCTCCTTTCCTTCCCAGAGAGATTAAACCCCGGACATTTCACCATATGAGGCCTGGGGATGGAAAGTACCATCCCCATTCACTTATTTCCATTGGCTAATTTACTGGAAGGCTGTTACTGGATATTTTACAGGTTGACAATAAACTGGATGACAATAAAAAATGAAAAAGATTCAAAATTCATCAGTGTGGTTCTGGATTTAATTAAGGTCTACTGAGGTATATATAAGGATAATTACTTATTTATGTAATTAAGATAAAGTGGGTTCATTATTAGGGTTTCTGCTTAAAAGCTTACCAGGTCATTCCTGGACTGATAAGGCCAACTTCTAAGGTCTCTGGCTAGGCTCACTTTCTGGAACTTGAGAATTAAGGAATCAATTTCTAAGGTGGACCTAAAGGAAGACTACTCTGCTGGGTAGAGTACAAACACCTTAGTTGTAGCCAGACCCTTTGGATCCAGTGGTGAACAGAGCTGAACAGAGAGGTCTGCTGAAGGTGGAGGTACTGACTACCTCTAAGCAAGGGTATCTTCATGGATCTAAATCACAAGGGCTCCAAGAAGAGTCCATTAACTTTAAGAGATGCAAAATTCCTCTCAACTGAGGACAGTATTCTAAGGCTAAAGATGACAAAGGAACATTATTTCTTCACTCCTGTCCTGATCACTGCATAGCAAAACCAGGAATCAAGACTCCTCTTCCTTACTTTTTTAAAGAAGGCGCAGAGAATAGGAGGGAGGTGGGAGAAAGGAGGGAATGTGGGAGGCATACTAATAAACAAGAATAAAACAAACCCTACATTCATTTGTAGTCCGCGCGCAGTCTTGGTTCTAAAGCTACTTTAAGAAATCCTCCTGAGGCAGCAAGTAAAGTATCAGGTTCGCCTTGTCCTCTGCTCCCCCACTACTGTGCGCGGCCAACCTCCGTGGACTCCGACGTAAACTCAGCATCTCCCCCACGTGACTGTGAGCTTCCGAGGGGCAGGACAGCGCCCTTCCAGGTAGGCGTTCTCAGCACTGCACTTTGGCTCTAAACACGTGCTCAAAAGTTCGCTGGAAGAATGGATTTGTGGAACACTTTAGCAGTTCTGGCCACTCCCTGGGATTCTCCCAATATTCCTCACTCCATCAGGAACGCAGAGCCCGGTATAAACCAAGAAGATCCACACAGCCTGACTGGTGCTACCGCCCCAACTCTGCGCAAACTGCAGCGCACCTGTTTTACGGCAGTTTAAGATACGTTAGAGTCGTGGCGTTGCATTATGGGAAGTGTAGGGGCGGGAAGCGGAAGGGGCGGGGCGATAAAGCGGAAGGGGCGTAACGAGCGGCGTCTTCTCTTCCTCCTTAGGGGCGCTAGGGCTTGGGTGGTAAGGTCGTGTGGTCGGGGTTGTTGCAGTGTGATCTTTGCGTTTGTCCTCCGCCCCACCCGAGGCGGTAGAGCTGATTGGTGGCGGGAGGCTGTGCACTTGGAGGTGCGGCAAGTGGCGCACAGGTCTCGGCGCACGTTGGCTGCACCATGGTCCAGCTTAGTGAGTGACCTTCCGGGTGGTCGCGGGGCCGGGGGTGGGGGGCGTATGGGACCCGATGAAGCAACTCTTCTAGGTGAGCTGCAGGCAACCCGAACTTGAAACAGCCACACTACCTTACGTGTGTTCCTCTCCTCAGGTTTTTCTCACTTAATCTTTCCTTAAAATTTATGAGACAAATGGCGTTCAGTTTCTAGATAGGCGGCTGAGGGTCCGTCGTGGTCACAGAGCTGTTAAATGGCAGGCTGGTGTTGAGCGGATTGAGGAGGTAGTCATTTCTGCCTGATGTGCATGAGAGGAGTTTCACAAATACACCATCTAAACTGGGTTGACAATAATTGGTTGGATGCAAGCAAGCCCCTTCAGTTGAGGAAGGGGCATGTTTTATCTATCTCATTATCATTATTATCATCTCATTATCATTATTATCTCATTATCTCAAATATCTCATACATATTTTATGTACTCGGTTCTTGTGTGTTAACAACTTAATTCTCTGCAGCTACTGTCCTGTGCAAAGCCTACCGTGGAGGCCATTTAACCATCCGTCTTGCCCTGAGTGGCTGTACCAACCGGCCTTTCTACCGCATTGTGGCTGCTCACAACAAGTGTCCCAGGGATGGCCGTTTCGTGGAGCAGCTGGGCTCCTATGATCCACTGCCCAACAGTCATGGAGAGAAAATCGTTGCTCTCAACCTAGAACGGATTCGGCATTGGATTGGCTGTGGGGCCCACCTCTCTAAGCCTGTGGAGAAGCTTCTGGGTAACTCAGCTCTAGCCTTACTTCATTGAGGGGATTTTCAGTTGAAGTCAGTTTCAGGATGATAAGAGTTAAGAATAATTTTCATTACCTCAGGCTGCTTAGGGCTAGGGTGAAAGCTGAAGTTGTGAACTAATTGTCATTTTGACTGGAGACCCCTTTTGTGGACTCTTATGAGACTTGCTGAGTGAAGAATGGGATTTTGTACTGAAAATGGGAATAATGTGTCTTGAATGGCTATCTGTCCATTTATCTTTTTTCAAATAAGGACATTAACGTTAGGAAGTAACATCCACTGTCTCCTTGTAGTAAATGGAAGGGGGTGGAATTGGGGGAAGAGTTAGTTTGGCAAGAGAGGAGCTTGTTTTAAATCCATGCTGTAGGTCAGGTCTCTGTTAGACCTCAGCTCTGTGAGGCTAAGATCCCAGGGAATCATTGGCTTATACCATGTTATAATGAATGGAAATCCTGTTGCTTTTAGGTCTTTCTGGCTTTTTCCCTCTGCATCCCATGATGATCACAAATGCCGAGAGGCTGCGAAGGAAACGGGCACGTGAAGTCCTCTTAGCATCTCAGAAAACAGATACAGAGGCTACAGAAACAAAAACGAGCTGACTTCAATGAGCAGAGCATTGGGAGAAAGGTCAAAGTCCTCTTAAAACACTTATGCAGAGCGCTTAGTCTTAATAGCTTTGGAGGTCAATAAATGGAGTTTTCTGCGTCACCCATGCTCTTCTGGACTGTCCTGAGCTGGACTCAGAGAGTAATTTGTTCTTTCTGACATAGAGCTGGGTCCAGATACTAATGAGCTTTTTTTAGCCTTCATTGAGAAAAGACAGTGGCTCTGGGGTGTGTTGGACTTTTGGGGTGGGCCCTGGATCTCTCAGACAACTTTACAGTCTGCTGCCTTACAATACTTCCCTGTTTGAAAGCCCCCAGCAAGCCTGTCCATGGTCTGTCTGTGCAATTCGTTCCTTAATCATTTATGGTCAGCCCACTAGATCAAGAACACAGTTACTTTGCTTATTTATTTATTTATTTATTTATTTATAGAGTTACTTTCTCTTGTTTGATATATAATCTCAAATTTACAAAGGGAGATTTTTTTTTTTTTAATGAGATTTTAGGCTATAATAGCATACTTTTAGAATGAGAAACTGGAAGAAACGTAATATTTAAAAGTACCTACATAAATTCTTGACCCTTTACAGGTAAAGGTTATTCATGAGGATTATTAGGTGTCATGAAAGGGGGTAAGATTGTCTCCATTTTATTGAAGAGAGATTGAGGTTCAGATGTGGAAACTTGACCAACGCCATCTCTTTTCATTTGGGCAGAGCTAAGATTCAGACCCCAATATGCATATCTGGAGAGCCCTTTCCAACACATATTGTCTGTGGCAGGGTGAGTGTGAGATGAGCAAAGATGAGGGGCTTTTCAAAAGTCCACTTAAAAAGCCAGTGATAGAATGAGGTTTAGGTGTCATGAGTTTGGTTAACAAATGACTGGCTCTGCCCCAAGCCCAAAATGTTACATCTGCTTCACCAGAACTGCAGGACAAGCACAAGTGTGGATCAGAGGATTTTAGTGCACACTCTGGGTGATATAATTTCAAATTCTAGCACAAGACTAGGATATAGAGCTGATAGAGGAGACACTAAAGCCCTATCAGTGTACCAACTTATTTTCTGGGTTTATATATTGAGAACAATTATCAGCCATCTCATTATGGGGTCAAGACTCTCCCAGGGTTGTCTCTGGTGGGCCTCCCTTGCTTTTAGGGGACTTTGAAGGCAGGGCAGGCTGAGAAGAACTGACTGGATTTGATCATGGATGTGGGAAAGAAAAATGCTATGAAAATCATGGGAACTCTGGAAGTTAAAGAAAATAATACAATCTGGAGAGTTTAAGGTTTTTGGATAAGCTTTAATTGGTAGAACAGAGAAGAATGATTATGAAAAGTATTGACCAGTAAAGGGAACTGCTGGGAAATGGGTTAAGGTATTATTTTGATCTATTGGGTTTCTGCTCACTCAAGTATTCACTTTATGCCCTGATCTATCCTTCCTCTGTGATTTGTGTATACATACTTCCTGTGTGAGCACATCCTGTCCCTAATTTCGAGGTTTCCGTAGCTCTAGCCTTACTTTGGATCTGCTGACAGTTTCACACCATCTTAGTTGATTGCATCAGCTTATGTTGCTGTCACCTCAAATCCAACATGCTCAAACCCAGCTCTGCATTAAAAAAAAAAGAAAGGCTGCTTCAGCAGCCCTATTTTTACTGAGATGAGGGTTTGGGTCATGTTACCTTAACTAAAGTAGAAGGTGATTAGGAAGTGGAAGGTGAGTGGGTATGATTCTGTAATAAATGTTAGTTTTTAAAAGACAAGTATTTTGTGCTTTTGGTTTACGCTTTTTTCTTGGGGGAATCAGGGAAAGTGCTTCCCTAGAAGTCCCAGCCAGTAGGTTACAAAATTACCGGTTCTTGAAAAAGAACAAATCTATGTAACGATATTCAACCATGTCAAATCGCTAAAAGCTGCTGGTATTATGCAGTTTTTTACTTTAAAAAGGCAAACAAAACAGCAGTATGTAGTTTCGATGTAGTATGGACGTGCCATATATTAAATGAACTGCACTGCGACTCTGGTGAGAAGATAAGCGCCAGGTTTCTCGAGCAAGGGATGGAGAGCATTTGGCGCCTCGGGTAACCACAGAGAAGGAAGCTCCTGCTGCTCCTGTCTCCTTTTAAGTCTTGGCCACGCCCTGGTTTTGCAGCTGCCGTAAAGTGCGACGTCGTGCTACGCCTATTGGGCGCTTTTTATGACGTAGTAGGCCGGAGTGGGTTTTTTTTTGCGCGGGAAAAGGGGGCAGTCTGGAGCTCTAACCTGTGTTGTTGGGACCGGCAGTTTCTGTGGAGTTGCCGCTCGCCCCCTATCCCTGCCGACTATGGGGTTACTGGAACTATGTGAGGAAGTGTTTGGTACCAACGACCTTTACCGAGTGTTGGGCGTGCGGCGCGAGGCCTCGGACGGCGAGGTCCGACGCGGCTACCACAAGGTGTCCCTGCGGGTGCATCCGGACCGGGTTGGCGAGGACGACAAAGAGGACGCCACCCGCCGCTTCCAGGTGCGCAAGTCCCGGCTCCACTGGCCGCCTGCATTTTTCTCGGTGTTCTGGCCGCCCGGCGCCTCCCAGGCGGAGTGCGCCCACCCTGGCCTGGTGTTTTTCTAATTTTTATTTCTCGCAGCGAGGGGTGCGTGGGTGATTTTTTGTTGCTCTTAACCTGCAGATCCTCGGGAAAGTCTATTCTGTTTTGAGCGACAAAGATCAGAGAGCATTGTACGATGAGCAGGGAACAGTAGACGAAGATTCTGATGTGCTCAGCCAAGATCGGGACTGGGAGACGTATTGGAGGTTACTTTTTAAAAAGGTAGAGGACCCTGGAAATTTCTTTGTGGTGATTCTCTTCATTCATTCAACAAACGTTTATTGAATGGTTTTAAGGTACTGCATTTTGTGTTGCGTAGCAATGAGGAATTTCTGTTTCATCCTAATATACGCATATGTGCAAGTATTCTTTGGGAGATAACATATATTTGAAGAAGAAGAAGTCTGTTTAACCGTCAAACATATGTACTTTTACTGAAATGGGTCTTTAATTTCCTGTTGATGTAGAGCAATTGCAGGGGGAAAGGTTTAATATTTTATAAGATAATGCTTTATTTTACATATCGACACGTAAGTCTTGAGTTCTGGGAAACTTCCCTTAAATTTTCCTGGTCTGTAGTTCAGTAGTTGTGAAGGTTGGAATAGGGAAAACTCTGGAAAAGCTTTGGCATAGAAAGTGTGGTTCCTTGCAACAATTTCAACTGAAGCACCTATTGTACCTGGGACTTTCAACACCTCACTCTGGTTTTACTAGTATACTTTTTATTTGAAATTCTCAGAGTTAAAGCATATGTCTCTCATTTGTTCAGATATCTCTAGAAGACATTCAAGCTTTTGAAAAGACATACAAAGGTTCTGAAGAAGAGCTGGCAGATATTAAACAGGCCTATTTGGATTTCAAAGGTGACATGGATCAGATCATGGAGTCTGTGCTGTGTGTGCAGTACACAGAAGAACCCAGGATAAGGAACATTATTCAGCAAGCCATTGATGCTGGAGAGATCCCGTCCTATAATGCCTTTGTCAAAGAATCGAAGCAAAAGATGAATGCAAGGAAAAGGAGGGTAAGATTTTGAATGCTGTTTTTTTATATGTCAATGATTCCAAAAAGAATGTGAGGGTATTTACAATAATAGAAATATATAAGGTTACTGAGATGAGAGTAAGGGTTAACTCATTTCTTTTCTAATAAAATGAGCATATGAGCTCATTAAGAGAAACTTTTTTTCCCTAGTATGTTGTGCTCAAGAGGATTTTGCTAGGTGGATTGTTTAATATCATCCTAAAATAACACTGAAACATTCTTTATGTGGGCCTTCTTGTAGCTTTGTCACAGCTTTCCTCAAGAGATAAAGTAATGGAGTTCAGATACGTAAAGTGGACAGTGGTTCTCACTTGATTAAAAGATGGGGAGAGGGTGACTAAAACTTTCTTTTTTTTTTTTTTTTTTAAGATTTTATTTACTTATTTGACAGACAAGTAGGCAGAGAGGCAGGCAGACAGAGAGAGAGAGGAGGAGGCAGGCTCCCTGCTGAGCAGAGAGCCTGATTCGGGACTCGATCCCAGGACTCTGGGATCATGACCTGAGCCGAAGGCAGAGGCTTTAACTCACTGAGCCACGCAGGCGCCCCCTAAAACTTTTTTTAAACTGTGTCTTTTTAATACAGATTTTCTCTTGTTCTTGCCCAGATTGACTCTTGAATTGGACCCAGAATATACATTTCTAAAAAAATGATTTAGTTTATTTTGATGAAAGTGTCTTCCCAAACACACTTGAAGAGGAAAAGTTGTAGCTTCTGTGGAGTTGGTTAGGATAGGGATGATGGCAGGGAAAAGGAGCTAAAGACAGACAGCTAAAGTTCTGGGACACAAGCCTCTGTGTCACTGGTCTTTTGGGGAGGACCAGACTGGTACTGAAGTAACCGTTGCCTCAACCTGGCTTTCCTAGTGGGAGCTCAGCGGAGAATAGTGTCATATTTTAGGTCTCTGGTGGGTGCCTTATTTTCTGTGGCTGAATTGGAGGTGGAGTTAGGTCTGCAGTTTTGATATAAGATACATATAGGGGAAAGCTTGGTGGGGGGTGTGCACGCATGGAATGTGTATCAAGATTATCATTTTGGGGGTGCATTGCTGACTGGGGCGATAGAGCATCTGACTCTTAATCTCAGGGTTATGAGTTCAAGCCCAACATTGGGCATGGAGCCTACTTTAGAAAAGTTATCATTTTGGCTTATAGGCTGCATCTGTTTAGGCCCGCTCTGACAGTTTCAGCTGGTAGTCATTTTCTCCAGTGCAACTGAGCACAGCTGTATCCAATAATAGGATATTAGCTTGAGAAACTTTCTTAGAGTTGAGGGCAGGTGGATGGCATAGTTCTTTAGAGAGACTCCAGCAAACCTAGGGAGTGGTATACAGTTTTAAAGGAATTTAATGCAAGGACTAAAAGTAGACAGTGAAAACACTTTTTATTGGAATAACAAAATCCTAATGTATCAGCATCCCAGTATTTATAGAGTGTTCATTGCTATTTAGAAAATTGACTGGGGTTTGGAACCTATTACAGTGTTGTTGCCCTAAAGGAACAAAGTCATTAACCTTTCCCAAGGTATTCTTCCGTCCCCCACCAAGGTATTCTTATGGTATTTTGGAATCAGTGCCATAGGAAAATTTGGCAGAAGGTGGCTTTGAAATTAGGTAAAGAAAGGTTAAAACTGAATTTGTTAGTGTTTATTCTGACTACTTGGGAATTTTAAACCAGGGTTACTCAAGGCTGCCACCAAGTCACATGTAGTTAAAAAGTAGGTTTCCAGAGGAGAGGAATTTGAGATGCCTGTAATCCTGGCAACATTTTTGAAGACATCCTTGATTAAATGGCCTTTCCTCGCTCTCCCAGCATTTTGTTTTTATTCTTACCGCAAGGTTTAAGAATACTAAACTACTTGCTACTCCTAGCTAGTAAAAATGGGGAAAACTCAGAAATGCTTATTGGAATCAGAGGATCTACTGCATGCTGTCAGCAGTGTCATCTTTTAATGAATGACATATTTATATAATTGTCTTGTTTTAATTTATATATCCCTCAAATTGAAAGGTTCTTACCATAGATTTGCTTTTGGGAAAGAGGGTGTATTTTTAGTATATGCTAGGTTGCCATGGAGTCTAATATGAGTTTCTGATTTAGGCTCAGGAAGAGGCTAAAGAAGCAGAAATAAGCAGGAAGGAGCTGGGCCTTGACGAAGGAGTAGATAACTTGAAATCAATCATTCAGGTAAGCCTGGCAGGTGTTTTTGAAGGTTGTTGCTACTTTTTTCATATTCTGATCCCTACTGCTAATACTTTCTTCGTAGTGTATAGTGTTGTATTTTGTTTTCTTCTTTAAAAGCATAAGTCATCCTTTTAAAGTGCATAATTTAGTTAAGCATATTCATCAAGTTGTAGAACAGCACTAATAACAGAACATTTTTGTCACCCTAAGAAGAAACTCATTGCTCATTAGCTGTCATTCCCTGTTCTCCCTTCCACCAGCCTCTGGCAACCACTATGTATTTTTGTCTCTGGATAGCCTTGTGTTTTGAAAGCTTGTGTTTTAACTTCTTAAACAGAGCAGACAAAAGGATCGGCAAAAAGAAATGGACAATTTTCTGGCTCAAATGGAAGCAAAGTACTGCAAACCTTCCAAAAGAGGAGGGAAAAAAACGCCTCTCAAGAAAGAAAAGAAATAATGGAATTTTCTCTTCAGAAGTCCTTAGGTGTTAATTGGCACCATTGTAGGCCAGATACAGTCAAGATTTGAAGAAAGAAGTTAACCCTGCTCTTGAGAAAAGCTGTCCTTCCAGCCTAAATAACTCCGCTCGACTCTGTACACCAAGCAGAATCTCTCAACCTGATTTTAGTAATCTTAGAAATCCCCTGACATTCTTTGAGGTCCTGCATGAAGGAATTTGGAGATTTTTATGGGAATGGGGGAGAGTGATGTACTTCCTGGCAGTGCTTGCATCTGTGATCTTCTGTACAAGGAACTCATATCTAGAATGTGGGTCTGTCCCATATTGCCTATAGCAATTGTTTTGCCGCACGAGTGTGCACACAGCCGCAGAGTATTCAGAGTGACGTGTGTGATATTAGAACAGTAATTCTGTTCTAGCTCTGCCTAGCTAGAATGCTTTCAGAACACTTGGTGGACATCTTTCAAATATTTGCCAGTTTTCTTTCAGGCTTAATGTTCTTGAATAGATCCTCTCTCCTTTTTGTTTTACTCAGCCAGGTTTTGTACTCTTTGCTAGAAGTATAGGAGAAACAGATGTTGAGATTACTTTAAGCATCTTTGTAAGACTTGTACGTGATGAAATAAACAAGTTAAAAATGACTGTTAAGTTCTGGGGCCTTTTAAATGATCTCAGTGATCATTTAAACTATGATCTAGAAAAACTAGTGTTGAGAGAAGAGAGAAGAAAAGTAACCAAATTCGCTTTATAGTAGGTAGCCAGATTTAAGTAGTATAAAGAAGTTGACCTGCCTGTAACTGTTGAATGTCTGTCCTTAGGTTGAAGATCTTGTTTGAACTTGTTTCCTCATCTATAAAGGGTGAAGGAGTTGGGCTAAATGACTTCCTAGAGGTTCCTTTGGATTCTCTTAACTTTGAAAGGCAGGCCATCTTGATCCAGTGGTTTGTTATGCACTCATGTATTGATTTGTGAGGATAGTATAGAGATGTTTACTTATATTTAGTCAAATTGGTATGTACTCTTCGGAATATATGGACATTTTTTAGCAACTGATAACTTAAAGTCTTTGAGTTATAGACTTTTATGCATATGGTATTGAATATATAACAACCCTTCTGTTACTGAGTTTTATGTATGCTAATTAATCTGAGGTAAGCACATGACACATTTTTAGTTTGTGATTACAAACAAGTTAAAAAAACACTCTTTAATTATATTAAAATATAATTTAATGCAGGTTGTTTGAAGCATCTGTCTTCATATGATAGCATTACTACCTTCGATAAAATAAATACTACCCCTATTTATGATCTTTCGAATTTATCCCCTCTGAAGATTTACAATAAGATCTAAAACTGGTATCATCAAAATTAAAGTTCAGTGAAATTTAAATAAAATTAGTTTAAGCCATAGTTAAAACCACTGCCGCATTTATGAGTGTCCTCCCAAAAAGGTCCATGGTGAAGTCAGAAGAATGCTGAAGTTCTGTACTTCTGCTCTTAGGATATGTTTATGCTAAACTAATTACCAGAGTTTCTGAAATATTGAGGTAATGCTGGCTCACCAATAGGTTCTACAAATTTTTGAAGTCTCCTTAGAGTTTAAGTAGAAAATCTGGTAAGTTGAGTATAATAGTTAAAAAATATATATATGACCACTGAGGTCCTTTAAGAAGAAAAGAAGCATAATCTAGTAGGAAGCAGGCCTTGTGAGGTTGAGCTGTCCTATCTGAAAATATATGTACATTATGACTTATATAAGTTAGTAGGTATACCGATGCTCACATTTATGTCTTTACTTAGCCTTTCCATATCTCTTTGCCTATAAGATTGGACATCTAAAGAGAAAGCTTTAGAAATGACATCTGTTTGATGAGTAACTCAGATTTTTGACAGCTCTGTCTCCTAAAACTGCCTTAAAAATGAGTGGACCTCTCCAGAAATTCATACAAGCAGAAGTATTGTGAGGCCGGTGATAATGTTATCAAACAATTACTTGCTTTTTGTGTAGGTATAGTCTCATAGAATCCTATAATAATTGAGCTGATCGTTGTTAACAGACAACATGAGATTTGGGGATTCATTTGTTACTTCTTTGGGTACAAATTTTAAGTCCAGTGGAATAGGTTAACTTAGGCTGAAAGAAGACAGGAACTGGAGAGAGAAACAGTACCCATGTAATTTTTGGCGGATCCTCTTTTTTTCTCAGTTATACCAGATTAACACTTCATGAAGACGGTTTTAAGTGGTCTCTTGTATACAAGCTTTGTGACACAAGATGACTGAACACTGATTCATGAATTTTTCTCACGTTGTTCCCTGCAGCCTGAAGCAGTTTCTTCTCATTTCCCCTATGGCCCCTGCCTGCTTCTAGAGACTGGTCCACCTCTGTTTTGAGATTTTGTAGACCCATGTAACTGAGGACCTGTCAGACAAAGGTGACATCATAGAGTAACATTAGTAGACATTCTAGATTTGGTAATCTCAAGTTCATATTTAAGGGCTTTTTTCTTCAGTTATCAATTGGACTTAAGTTTGGAGACTGGGACTAAGTGATAAAGTATATATTCAGTAAAAACCACATTTGCATTATTTTATCATGTAAAACCAGAAAAACTATTAAGATAGGAAATCTAGTTTTAGAGAAGAGGCCACTGGGTGCCTGGGTGGCTTAGTCAGTTAAGCGTCTGCCTTCTTCCCAGGTCATGGTCCCAGGGTCCCAGGATTGAGCCCTAAATTGGGCTCTGCTCAGTTGCAAGTCGCTTCTCTCTGCCCTTCCTCCTTGCTTGTACACATGCACGCTCGCTCTCAGATAAATAAAACCTTTTAAAAAAAGAAAAAGGAAACCATTAGAGAAGAGGCTAATTAGAAAGGACTAACGTGGGGCGCCTGGGTGGCTCAGTGGATTAAGCCGCTGCCTTCGGCTCAGGTCATGATCTCAGTGTCCTGGGATCAAGCCCCGCATCAGGCTCTTTGCTCAGCGGGGAGCCTGCTTCTCTCTCTCTCTGCCTACTTGTGATCTCTCTCTCTGTCAAATAAATAAATAAAATCTTTAAAAAAAAAGAAAAGAAAGGACTAACGTGTCTGTCTGAAATGTTACGACTGTCAACAAGGTTGAATGTAGTAACTCTAGCTCAGAGGCAGCATTGCTTCTGTATGAGGACTAATCCAAGAAAGAATCCATGGAAAGCATTCAGAGACTACCAAACAATGCTAATAGGAAATGAACGAGAGAATTCACTTGGATGACAGAGATGGTTTGAGGCAGATTACCTTTGATTACTCTTCTTAACTGGAAAGCATTTCAACTGCCTAATACTTTTGCTTTCACTTACAACATAAAAATGACCCTGATGGTTGTGAATATATTTATAGGAAGAATTAAGATATCCTTGAGTTTTCTCCCCTTCTATGAAAATACAATCTATAGAATATGACTTAGAAATCAAAACATAACGGGATGGACAGACTCCACATGTCTTGATATTTTTGAATTTCTTTTTTTTACCTTGGCCTAGCAGGTTAACTGATCGAAGCAGTTTATTCTATAGCACTATGGATTTTGCCTACGTAATAAAATCCATGCAGTGTTTGAATGTTATAAACATGACTTATTTAGCATAAACTTTTTAGATTGGAAAAAAAAAGTAGTTTACTTTGCCAGAGTGGTGAGAAGTTAATGTATATATCTGGAACTTGGCTCTAGGCAATAGAGGTCTCCTCTGTTTTTCTTATTATCCATTTCCAAAAGGAATTTGAGGTGATTTACAAAGATGTAGGGAAACAAAATACGATAAAATCTAGAAGAAGGGAAAATAAACATAGAAAACAAAGGCAGTGTCTTAACATAGCCACATCATAGTAAAATAAGAGCCATGGTCCCACCTGTCACTGCAGATCCTCTACCAGGTCGGGCCTGATGAGGATACTCAACAGCACATGAATGATGATACTGTGTATCTGGCTGCAAAAGAGAAAAGATGACACACTTTTTATGATGTGACTTCTCCCAAAGGATAATGTGTTTGTAGGTTTACAGGGAAAACCTTAAAATCAGACAACCATATAAATGGCATTGTCTAACAGTCTGAGGGACAAGTTGGCTGAATGCGTTCTTTTTTTCAAGTAAAAAATTCTAAGTCAGAGGCCCACAAAGCCATTTGTTAACGTGTAAAAAATTTTTAAGTTCTTTTTTTAAAAGTTCTAAACTTAGTTAATATGCCTTTAAGAAAATCTTAGCACTGGGGTGCCTGGGTGGCTCAGTGGTTTAAAGCCTCTGCCTTCAGCTCAGGTCATGATTGTAGGATCCTGGTATCGAAACCCACATCAGGCTCTCTGCTCAGGGGGGAGCCTGCTTCCTCCTCTCTCTCTGCCTGCCTCTCTGCCTACTTGTGATCTCTGTCTGTCAAAAATTAAATAAAATCTTTAAAAAAAATTATAAATAAATAAGAAAATCTTAGCACTTATAAATAATCCATATGGTTTAATATTTTTAAGTATAATTGGCTGCCAAGGGAATTTTATCTAATTTAGACTGTCTGCTGATTGTTTAAAACAACAGAATGGAGCCTTTTCAGTAACCTTGAAACACCCATGACTTTACCTCCATACTTGAGATGTGACTCTCAACATGAAACATTTCAAAATTACCTCAGGGAATTTAAAGATTTTTAGACGTGGCTAAAATACTGAAACGCAAATACCAAAAAAAGCTGTCAGTGCCATGCTGCTGGTTCTTCTGGAATAAAGAACATCCCTCTCCATTCCCTGTCAGAGCACTGCAGTCAAGAGATCACAGGAATTTTTTCTGGTGAAGCCCCATATTTTTTTTTTAAATTGGGGTCACCAAACTTCTTTAGGGGACCAGACAGTAAATATTTCAGGCTTTGTGGCACATACTGTTGCGGCTATTCAACTCTGCTGTCGTGGTGGGAAAGCAGTCCTAGACCGTACATAATGAGTATGGTAGCTCTACTCTAATAAAACCTGATGTACAGAAACGGGCCATTTTTGTGGGAAGCTAGATGGCCCATAACAGTTGCTTGCTGACTCCTCTTCAAGATGAGAACACCAAAGAGCAGAGTGCTAGTCTGAAAATGCCAAGCCAGGGACCCGGATCTGGTGTGCTGAGTTACACTGAGCTACCAGCTCATCTCCCTTTGCATGACAGCACATTGGGAGAGAACTAGCTAAGGTACAAAATTCTTACTTTATTGTTATAAACATCAGGAAAAAAAAGAAACTGAAATGACTTCATCTGTTTAGTTTAATTGCTAAGGCAACCAAAAATTAAATGTTTTATAGGGAATCTAGCTGTAGAATATAATCATCAAGCACTGCGTAGCAAATGCCCTGAATCAAATTATGAGATGATTAAAAGAGGTTTTCAGACTTTCTAGGATTCACATGGAGTAAGAATCAGCAATGCTCACGTTTTCCTTTAGCTCCTATTTTGGTGAATCTCTGCCTAAGTAAAGCATCTTGAGGTTTGTTGAGTTGGATAGTGTCCCCCATCCCCTACCCCTGCCAAAATTTATGTCTGCCTGGAACCCATGAATATGACTTTATTTGGAAGTAGGATCTTTGCAGATGTAGTCAAGATAAGATGAGGTCATACTATGTTAGGGTCAGCCATAAATTCAGTGATGTGTATCTTCATAAGAGGGAAATTTGGACACAGAGACATGCAGGGAAGAAGGCTGTTTGAAGGCAGAGGCGGAAATTGGGACTGATGTGGCTGCAAACCAGGGAGTACCAAGAATGGCTGGCAACCACCAGTCAAGAAGAGATTAAAAAAACATCCTTCCCTACAGCCTGGAGAGGGAACATGGTTCTGCTGACACCTTGACTGGACTTCTAAGCTCTGGAACCAATAGAATAAATTTCTGTTGTTTTGAGCCACCCAGTCTGTGGTGATTTGTTATGGTAGCCCTAGGAAACTAATAGACCGTCTCATTAATTTGTTCTCACCGTTCTTTTAGTGGAGAATTGTATAGAGCTTGAGGCTGATACAATACAAAGCTTAAAAGTCAGAATAAGTGGGCTTCAGATATCACCATCCTGAAAAGTGGCATAGGATTTGAGGCCCCTGGCTCCTGGACACTGCACGTGGCTCCACTTCCCCAGGCTCTTCAAACGCTTTTGCCACAAAGATGCGGTGGGGCTGAGTGGCTGGCCTACAGCTGCGTAAGGTCAGTGCAGGACCTCCAACCTCCCAACTAAGCTTTTTCTAGTACTTGCTTAAAAGTAAAAGGGCCAGTAAATGCACATTAAATGGTAAGGTGATGTGAGCATCTCAACCTCAATTTAAAAAAATGTCATGACTTGCCATCCATCAGTCCACATCATAATCTGATAGCACTTTTTGGTGTAACTCCCTAAGAGCAGTGTGAGAGGAGTTATGCTGATTTGATGTATTGGAGTTTAATATTTTTTTGCTTATTCTCAGAAATATCTAATAATTTAATATTTAACAATTTAAATTGTTTAAAATTTGTGACTTACGTATAAAGCATTTTACCTTATTACCTTTTTAAATTCTATTTGAGTGTCAGAGGCCAGTTAGAATTTCAATAAAATGTACTTAACAACACTATTTTTATGGTTAAGAGCCTCCACTTTTATTCTTGGAGTTGATTAAGGGACTATGTGAAATTTTAAGTCTGCCAAACTAGTTCTTTTCTTTCCCCAACTGTCAAGACCATAGAGGAAGTATGTCACTACCAAAAATGATTGAGTTGTGTTGGGCCTGGAGAAGAAGTCCGGTAGAAGGAGCCTCTCCTGGGGCTGCTGATGGTTAGGCTCATCCACCACCGCACTTCGAGCTCGACTGGAGTCGCCGTGGGTTTTCTGCAGGGAAGGCAAGAATTACAGAAACTGTTAAATCAATTTGTAGTGCATCAACCCAAGTAGGCATGGTAACTGTAGGCCAAGCAGCTCCAGTTCCATTGTCATAAAGTGAGGATTCAGTTTGTACTCTTGACAAAATATAGTATAAATTAATTCCAGAACAGGGATCCTGCAGAATTACTGCCCACGAGGTTTTATAAGCACATGGAAAGGCAACAGGAGAAAGACATACCATTTGCCTTTGTGGCCCCACGGTGCTCAAGTGTTCCACGTCAGCTGTGCCAATAGGGGGCAGCAGATTGTTTCGGCTCAGGGGCATTGGTGAGGGAGAGAGCGAGTCAGCGGCTACTGGGCTGCAGATCCCACCAGCGAACACCAAGATATGAAAGGATAGTTATAACAATACAAGCAAACTGATTAGAATCAAATAAATGAGGGAGATGAGTTTAATGTCATGCACAGAATGCTTCCTATGTTTTTAAGTTAAGCAATCTCAGTGAAACGATTTTGGAAAATCAAGAGTTGAGGGGTTGGTTTTCATAATATTTTCTGATTTGGGTTGAAACCTTATCCTGAGCACACAGCAGCAGTCGACCCTTTGTCTCACAGAGAGCTGGTGTTATACTATTTTGGTGATAACCTATAATGGATTTGTAATTTCACATCTGGTGGAATTCACAGTTCTGGGCCTTTTGGTTGTCCTTTTCACTAATAACAGTAGTCCTTCCTTATCCATTGTTTTGTTTTCCATGATTTCAGTTACCCATGGTCACTGGGGTCCAGAAGTACATGATCCTCATTTTGATGTATTGTCAGAAGGTCACTGTAGCCTAATGCTGCCTCACAGTGCCTCCATTGTTAACCTCACTTCATCTCATCACGTAGACATTCTGTCATCTCACATCATCACAAGAAGGATGAGTGTAATACAGTGAGATATGAGAGAGACATTCACATAGATTTTGTTCCAGTATACTATTATAATTGTTCCACTTTATTATTAGTTATTGTTAATCTCCTACCATACCCAATTTAGAGGTTAGACTTTATCATAGGTACGTATGTATAAGAAAAAAACATAGTATATATAAGGTTTGGTACTATCTGCAGTTTCAGGCTCCATGGGGGGTCTTGGGACATATCCCCTGTGGATAAGGGGGGACTACTGTAATTATAATTGCCAGGTAAATTTCTTAAACTTTTCTTCCATGGCATTTCCAGCAGTTTTTAGCATTTCTCATACTCAAGACTGTACCTGAAAATCAATGATACTTTCATGTCCCAGAAGAAACAAGGTAACTTGTTTCCACTTTGAAGAAATTATCAGAAGGTATGAGGATTAATTATGCTTCAAGAACACTCATCCTCAATTGAGTGAATCTATATCAATACACATCAACATAGTAAAATAGTGGGTAGGTGAGAAGAACTCTGGTGTCCTGACAAAGATTTTGGGGCATTACGGACATCTCTTTTAGTGAATCTATTGGGATAAATTAAAACAAATTGAAGTCAAATAACATGTTGGGAAAGAAGTATAAGGATGTCCATAATTTAGAAGCTGAATTCAAAACATAGTTACAGCCATATTATCTTATACCCTTGATTATAGTCTTAGACTCAAACATCCTGAGATGTTTTGTGAGTCAACAACTAATGAAAGAATTTTATTTTAAAAAGTAGGCTACTAAGTGTTTTTTGCATGACAAAGCTCAGAGTGAATTAAGGGTGGGAAAAGGAAAAAATATGGTTAGTGTTATTTCCTAGGAAGTGCCAAGGTATATTTTTCCTGGTATAGAGACAAGTACTTAGCTTAGGTTAAAATGTTATCATTTGTCAATGGAATAAGCAGATCCCAGTGGTACAGAAAAATATTAAAGGAGAGTTAACTTATTTGGGGATGAATTTCACTGAGCACTGAGGAAAGTGTTGATAAGATACTTAGATCTTATTCCTTCGATAAGTGTCACTGAAGTATTCTAGCCGACATTTTATTGTAGAAGTAAATAGCTAAATAGCTAAGTAAATAGCTAAATCAACACATCTAATACCTGAATTTTATTCAGATTTAACCACATTTCTTTCTCTGTTAGATTTAAACCAGTGTGTAGTCAGTCCATCATGAAAATATCTAATGATTGGTTTCTAGGCATATATTTCAACCTTACGTTTAAATTCATTCTCTATGTAAAATTATTCTTCATTAGTTTTACTACAGTTTCCCCAAATTCTGCTTTTGAAACCTACACTCGGGGTCCTCTGAGTATTTCTTCCACAGGTCTTGGTGTTCCAGTGCGTGAATGGCTTGTGCTGATGGGATGAAGGGTACGTGGTGGGGGATTGCGTCTCCTGGCAGACTGTACTGTGTATGATAGAGCTGATGTACTAAGCTCCAGGGCTCGATTTGGCCAATTTCGAGTTGAAAGGATGGTACTGGATCCAGGTCTCATAAGTAACTTGTCGTCAAGATCTCTAGTGACCAAATCAGAAACCCACAATGAAATCAACATTGCTCTGTATAGGGAAACAAGACTCAAAGGCTTAGACTATAAAACATATTCAAGGGAGAAAAAAAGCAAAAGTAAATAACCTAATTTATACAAATCATATAATCTAGCCTCAGGCATGAGAACATGTTCTTAAAAGGACAGCATTTTAGCCATACAGGTAATTTACTAGAATGGAGACATGGGGGTGCCTGGGTGGCTCAGTTGGTTAAGTGACTGCCTTTCACTCAGGTCATGATCCTGGAGTCCCGGGATGGAGACCCGCATCAGGCGCCCAGCTCCACGGGGAGTCTGCTTCTCCCTCTGAACTTCTGACCTTCTCCCCTCTCATGCTCACTCTCTCTCTCTCAATCAAATAAATAAATAAAATCTTAAAAAAAAAAAAAGAATGGAGACTTGGGAAAGCAAGTCCATTATTCACCTGCCATGACAGTCACTTCTTCAGTTACAGTGAAGGCTGACCTGAAGATTCCCTGGAGTGCTTCCTGAAAGTTGACCCCAGGGACCGAGATTCCTATCATATTGGAAGCCTTCTTTGTGCTGAAGGAAAAACTTAGTTGAAAGGCAAATAATTACTGCTTAGGAGAAGCGTGGCACCAGCGAGGCTCCCACTCAAAGATTAAAATGCTGAGCTCATTGGAGCCTGAGGGGGCGGGGTGTGTTTGGTTCTTTGGAAAGCTGGAGCAGGCAAACCATCCAGAGCCTCATGCTGCGCAGGGCATTGGGACTACTGTAGGTCCCTGTCTGCACAAGCAACTAAAGTACAACACTTTCTTGTAAGTACTCCGATAAGTAGAATACTATGCCCAAATAGTTAAGGAACTTACTCTGCCCTACAGATTCCAGATTTTTTTGTTTTTGTTTTGTTTTTTTTAAGTGGGTGCAATACTTGTAAGACACCTGAGAGACACTATTTGGACAAGGAAATGGAGGGATAGAGAATTAAGCTCTGCCACATGCTCTTTTGGCTTTCAGCAAGTTCTCCAAATGTCGAGGCCCCTTTGCTATCCTGTAGTGCAAAATTACCTCAGTGTTTGGAGGACTTTGAAGGGCAAATACCCTCCAAGAAATGGAGCTAAACCTTGAGCATTACTCACAAGAGATTGTGCTGGTCTTCCTGCCGTCATAACCATTCACTTATTGGCCTTTTCTTTACACACCTTAACTGCTTTCTGTGACAAGAAGCTTTAGCTGCTTCATGCTTACCTTTGTCTTCTGAACTACTCATTCATTATTCTGGATTCAGTTATTATCTTTAGCCTTGTAACTTCTAGATCAACCTCCAAATCTGACCTTTTCCATATTTCCGGTGAGATGGCTTGGCATTGTAAACTCAACATGCCCCAAACCAAATTTATCTTTACCCCACAACAAACTTCCCTTGACCTTTGAAATCTCAGAGTTGACTTTGGTTCCTCTATTTATATAGAATCTGATTTCTTTTGCAATATCTCCTAAAATATTACATTCCTTTATCCTTTGGGACAACCCTGAATATAGACTATTAGTAGCTTATGGTTGAACTCCTACATTAGAATCTTTACCTTCAGTTCCTCCTGCTTCAATTGAGTCTATGTTCTTCTGCTGTAAAATCTATTTTTCAGATTCCTGACTTAAACTGTGTGCCCCCCAAGTGAAATTCATATGTTGGTGGGAGTGTCAAATGGCATACTTACTTTGGAAAACTGTATGGCAGTTTCTTACAAAGTTAAACATACACTTATCTATCCTATGACAATCTATACATACTGACTCAAGAAAAATAGACCATAGGTCCACAAAAAATACCTGCGCAAGAATGTTTATGGTGCCTTTGCATAAGACCCGCAACCTGGAAACACCCCATATGTTCATTAGCAGAAGAGTAGAAAACAAATTGTAGTGTATTCTTACAATAGAATATTACTTAGCAATAAAAGAAGGTCACATGCAACAACATGAATGGATCTCAAAAACATGGCATTCAGAACCTTCTAGTCTGGTCACAGTCTTCATTAATTTCGTAGTCTTCTTCCTCGTGAATCACACCATGATCTATTTTAATTCTGGAAGATTGTCAGTGATCTTTGGTCAGAAGCATTAAAATTCTGACCTATCCCTTTTCTTACTATAGTAAAACCGGTCTGCTTTCCCTTCTAAATAGTTTGTATTTTTTGTCTCCAGACCTTTTCCTACACCATTCCTCCTACCTAGAATAGTCTTGTTGCTCTTCTCTGCTTAACCAAACTCTCATCTTTGAAGGAAAAGTTCATACTATAGTTAGCCACCCAAATGCCCCCCTTCTTTGGGACTGTCATGCTTTCACTCTGAGTACTACACCCTTGACGTTCAGTCACACCAATGCCCTATGTGGTTAAGTGTCTTTTTACCCGCATGTGTCTTCTCTTTGCAGTTACATTATCAGCTCCTTGAGGGTGGAAACCATTTCCCTTAGATGTTTTTACTCCCCAGATGTCTCTGTGGTTGCTTGGTAGGTACTCAATATATGCATGATGATTGACTGATTGAGCTTTCCTTTTATTTTTCAGTGATCTAGGTAAATTTAGAGTCTATTAAAATTTTACACTTCTTACAGTAGTTTGTCCATTAGGGAGAGATTTCTTGGCTGTAGAGGCATCCCATGAACCAAGAGACCATTCACGTTTGGCTGATGACCACTTGCTGCTTGACAGAGATTCATCTATATGTCAAAAGAAAATGTTACATGTTATTGGTTAGTGAATACATTTGCTGTGTTTCCCAACTTTGCCAAAACTTAATATTTTCAAATTAGATAATCTGTGCATTTTTCTCCTATGCCTTAACTTTTATAACGTCTTTGGCCAATAGCCGAGCTGGGGCTTCAAGTCCACTGTCAAGATGACAAGTCAGACTCCTTTTCTCTTCATTTCTAAATGACAGCAGGTAGGGGAAGTCTGATCAAATGAGATGAAAGCAGTTAACAGCCACTCAGGGGAGCGAGAACTCCATTACTATCATTATTTACGTTAGTAAAGAAAACCTAAGAAGAAAAAATATGGAACAAATATAGAAAAAATTAAGAGTAAACTCTGACATAATCTCTTTCACCATCAAAGAGTCTTATGCTCTGCACAAACTAATCCCTTATCTTTTACTACCCCTGGGGCAGTTAGCTATCAGTCATAACCTAAGTTCTGAAGACCGTAACTAGCAAGAGTTCTCGTGTTAGCAGGATTTAATCTTCCATGGACTGACATTGCCACCTTGGCGTGCTGTTAATTTTCTCTGTCAGGTCATCAGTTCAGTGCGCTTTCTGGCCAGCTCCTCTGCCACAGCATGCATTTTCCTCCTACTTTCTCTCAGGAATATGTGAATTAATGCTGCTTTTTCCTTGATCATTTCCTTGGTCATTCCTTCTTTTTCCTTAGCCAGGAACATTTAAGTTAATTATGCATAACTTAGGCTACCTAACCCATAGTGAGACCACTTCGGCATGTTAGAAGTATTTTATTACCGTGAAAGGAACATTAGTTCACCTGGCTAATCCTCCAGTGTGGTAAGATATGGATGGGCCTTGCTGATTTTATTTTTAAATAACCCATTTGTAAATCCGGTAGCACAATATCAGGCCAGTAAGCCAACAAAGCAAATACTAAGTCTGGTAGTGAAACCCAGGGTTGATGAGCATGGCTCAAGGATTAGAATCCCCCTGCAGCGCCCCCATCCCGTTTTGGTTTTTTGTTTTGATTTTTGTTTTTGGCCAGAAGTAACACTGGGAAACTATCATGTAGCAACTAGATAAATCATTACATGATTTACGTGAGACCAGGCTCATTAGCCTTCTATAAGAAATGACCATGTTTATGCTTGTCCACAGACTTCACTGGGACCACTTGTTCCTTACTTTGGTTTGCCTTTTACACCTCAGTTATTAACCAGTCCTAAACACGCAAAAGGCAGAAAAGTCAACAGATTCAAATATCAAAAATAAAAACCAGGTAGGCTGAGATAAAAGAAAAGGGAGTCAAATGGAGAAATTCAAAGGATAGGATGTTAAGGCCACAGAACATCTGAGATTGGTCCCCCTTTCTGTCATATCCTTTATTCTTTCCAGACAGACTTGGGCTAACCACATAGCTGATTATACATTGCATAACTTATGGATGACTTTAAAAAAGAGGGGACTGAGGGGTATGTGGGTGGCTCAGTTGGTTAAGCATCTGCCATTGGCTCAGGTCATGATCCAAGGATTCTGGGATGAAGTCCCTGCGTTGGGCTCCCTGCTCAGTGAGGAGCCTGCTTCTCCTCCCTCTCACTCTCCCCCTGCTCATGCTCTCTCTCTCTCTTTCTCAAATAAATAAATAAATCTTAAATAAAATATTTTTTTAAAAGAGGCCATTTGTTTAAAAAAAAGCTGACTGGAAATTATCAATCCTAATTTGCTATTAATTTTTTAAAAATTTCTTTTAGAGCGCATGTGTGCACACACAGGGGAGAGCTGGAGGAAGGGGAGGGGCCGAGAGAGGGGAGAGAGAATCTTAAGCAGGCTCCAGGTCCAGTGCAGAAACTGCCCCAGAGCTTGATCTCACAGCCCTGAGATCATGACCTGAGTCGAAATCAAGAGTGGGACCAACTGAGGCACCAGGTGTCCCATTATTAATTTTTTAAACTTAAACTTATCAATGCAAAGAGTCACTGGCTTATTATGATAAACACATAGCTTTACTGAAAAAAATTGAGTCATAAAAAATAAAAGTAAGGCAAATAACTCTGAGCAAGCTTCTTCTGGCAAGAACAGCCCTAGGTTCTCCAGTACATTCCTGTGTAGAGCTTACTGGATTTGAGGTGATGGACGGCACCTTCGACTGTGGCACTCGAGGTAACACCAAAGGTTGTGGTTCGCTCAGCACGCAGGGGCTTTCTGAAGCTGGTCTGGTGATTGCAACGTTACTCTCATCATCTGAGCAAAGGAACAGAATCTATTATCCATGGATATCTTCAGACCCACAGCAAAACAGTAAAAAAAATCTTCCTCAAGAATTCCTAATCTCAAACTAGGCTTCACTCATTTTTGCAGCCTAATTTCATACCACCTGCGTGTTTAAAACAACAACAACAAACAGCCTTAAGTTAAGTTAGTTTAGAGTGTTTTCCCAGGCTGATGATGCCTATTGGTACCCGGCAGAAGGAAAAACAAAGATCTTTAGAGCAAAGATATCCAATAGAACACTTGGGGTTAATGGAAATGTTCTACAGATGAACTAATATAATGGCTTCTGGCCACATGTGGCTCTAGAGCCCTTAAAGTCTGGCTAGTGTTACTGAGCAACAGACTTTTAAATTTTTGTTAATTTTAACAAATTAAAATTTAAATAGCCAAGCAGATTTAGAAGAGGGAAAAAAAACGCAAAGGAGAACTAAAATGGCTAAAATTAAAAACAGCAGAATTAATAGATTTAGATATCTGTTGCTGAAGACAAGTAGTGAGCTAGAAAAAAAAGATGTCAAGAACTAATTCTGAATTCAATGCAGAGGAAAGGAGATAAAAAATATGAACTGTACTCTAAAAAGTTAGTTTTACTATATGGAAACTATACCTTGTTTTAAAAATGGACAAATAAAATCACAGCGAAATATCCTTTTCGACATTGATAGTTAAACATTGATCAGGATACTGATGTGATTGTCAATACAGGAACTGTTAGTGGGCATATAGAACTGGCACAGTCTTGTTGGATAATTTGGTGTGATCTCTAGTAAATTGAAGATGTATATTCCCTATGACCCAGCAACTCTATTCCTTGGTATATACCCTAGAGGGAATCTTGCACGTGTGTACCAAGAGAAATATTTAAGATCGTTTAAGGCATCATTGGTCATAACTGCAAAACACTGGATCTGGGGATTTTAGCACTTCTTACCATCATTTATGGCTCCAAAGCTCAACTCAGGATGAGGAATCATGTTTCTGAGTAGAATTAATATGCACTCTGGGTCTTCATTGTTTTTAAATCACTTCCATTATCATCATTTGGTTTACAATAATATACTGTGGTTTCCTTCAGAGAAACTATATCTTCACAAAAACGTCCAGTGAAGCTTGTTTCCTCATTAGCAAATTAGGATTAATAGTAAAAATAATTATCCTTTTTAATTAATTATATTATTATTTGTTTTTATTTTAAAATATTTTTTGTAATTTTGATTTTAAAACTAGTCTGATTAAAAGTTTTTAAAAGACCATTAAAATAAGTCAGAAAAATATTTATATTTTCTTAGCATTTTATATACTTCTGGGTTACAGTTGACAAACCTTAATATACCAAAAGTTGTCACATGATCCTATGTAGTTTGATTTTGTTTCTCATGTAGGGGTAGAAAAAGTTGCTTTAGTAGCAGGGATAAGTTTATACCAGCACCCACAGGTAGGCTCTGAGAGCAGCTAGCCAACTGGTCCACACCAAAGCCAAAAAGCCAAGAGTTCTCTTTTAGGAACTATTGTATATGCTTTGATTTAATGTAACCCTTTTATTCCTTATACAACCCTATGTTATTATTATATTGTTCTATAAAAAAAAACTGAATCACAGTGAGTTTAAGAAACTTGCATAGGGTATAAAGTTAGTCTCAGAGCCAGCGCTCAAATCCAGGTTTGTCTGGTAACAAACTGCTTTTAACCATTATAGGATATGACTTCTCACAGGGATAAATTTTAGAGCAGGTGTCAGCTAACTATGGTCCATGCATGGACCAAATATGATCCATTACCTGTTTATCTTATTGCAGTAAAACATGTGTAACACAAAATTTACCATTTTAACCATTTTAAAGTGTACATTTCAGTGGCAGTAAGTGCATACATAATGCGCAGTCATCATCACTGGTTCCGTAAGTTTTTCATCACCTCAAAGGGAAATCTCATGCCCAGTACTATTGCTAGTTTTTATAAATAAAGTTGCAACAGTACTTTATTTTCTTTGCTGTATAATACTGTCTTGTATGAATGTATCACACTGCAGTGCTGTGGGACATTTGGGTAGTTGCAAGTTTTTATTTTCTAGCATGTGGTGCTATTATGGACATTTTTATGTATGTTTCAGTGAGCATATATAGTGCATACGGGGAGATGTACATAACCACATTCTCTCATTCTCATATTGTTTATGGCCGCTTTCAAGGGCAGAGTTGAGTAACTGCAACAGACTGGATGACTGGCAAGGACTGGCTCTTATACACAAAGTTTGGTGACTTCTCTTTTAGGGAGTCAACTCACTAAACAATCAGTCCACTAAACCACTTAGAGATCCTCCAGCTCCATTTCAAGATCAGTTTCTTAAAGTTGGACTTGATACTGAAAATTGAAGGAGTTCCTTTATTTACCACCAGTAGTGTTTATTATTACAGCAGTTCAGATGTAACTATGGACTTTATCATTTATCTGTTATTTCCAAAAACTTAAACTCATATGATATAAATCAGGGTTTTTTTTTTTTTAAGATTTTATTTATTTGACAGAGAGCGCAAAAGCAGAGGGAGGGATAGGCAGAGGGAGAGGGAGAAGCATGCTCTCCACTGAGCAGGGAAACTTATGCAGAACTTGATCCCAGGACTCTGGGATCATGACCTGAACCAAAGGCAGATGCTTAACCCACTGAGCCACCCAGGCACCCCTAAACCAGTTAATCTTTAAAGGGTGTAAGTTCTCGGGGTGCCTGGGTGGCTCAGTGGGCTAAGCATCTGCCTTCAGCTTGGGTCATGATCCCGGCATCCTGAGATCGAGCCCTGCATCAGGCTCTCTGCTCAGCGGGGAGCCTGCTTCCCTTCTTCCTCTGCCTGCTTCTCTGCCTATTTGTGATCTCTGTCTGTCAAATAAATAAATAAAATCTTTAAAAAAAATAAAGGGTATTATTAGTTCTGTTTTCCAATTCCAGCTTTATTTTTAAGATTTTATTTATTTGTTTGTTTGTTTGTTTATTTATTTATATGAGGGGGGAAGGGGCAGAGGGAGAGGAAGAGAGAAAATCCTAAGCAGACTCCCTGCTGAGTACACAGCTCCACATGGGGCTCAATCCCGCAACCCTGAGATCATGACCTGAGCTGAAATCAACAGTTGGATGCTTAACCCACTGAGCCACTCAGGTGCCCCTCCAATTCCGGCTTTAAAAGAGAACTTGACATGCATACAACAGAGGGGCTTAAGGAAGAACCCACATAGACAGGATCAAATGTAGCAAACATTGAGCAACTGGAACTCTCATACAATACTGGAGAGTGTAAATGGGTGCAACCACCTTGGAAATTTTTTGAAAGTCCCCACTGAAGTTAGAATAGCATATCTTATGACCTAGCAGTGCTACTCTAGTACATATGTTCACCAAAAGACATGTACAAGAACGTTCCTGACAACACCGTATGCTTTCAAATACAAACTGCAAACTACTCAAATATCCATTAACAGTAAAATGTGATCTAGCCATATGATAGAATATGATATAACAACAAAACTATTATTCCAAGCAAAATAGTTGCATCTAACAATGTTGAGTTTAAAAAGACAGTTACAAAATGGCATATACTATAGGAATCCATTCTTATAAGTTAGGCTAGGGTTACTCTTAGGGTTGTAGGAGTTCAGTGACTGATAGCAAGCATGAGAAGGGCTTATGAAGTGTTGGTAATATTCTGTTCTTGGTCTGGTTGCTGGTCATACGTGTGGATTCATTTTTTTAAATTGAAACCTATTTAACATTAGTTTCAGGTGCATAGCACAATGATTTGACAATTATGTACATTTCAAAATGCTCACTGTGGTAAGTGTAGTTACCATCTCTGACCATACAAAGTTACTACATTATTATTGACTATGTTCCCTATGCTGTACTTTTCATCCGAGTGACATACTTATTTTATAACTGGCAGTTTGTACCTCTATTCCCTTTCACCATTTCACCTATCACCCCCCACCCTCCCCTCTGGCAACAACTAGTTTGCTTTCTATGAGTCTGTTTCTGTTTTTCATGTTCGTTCCTTTGTTTTTTTATATTACATGTATAAGTGAAATCATGGTATTTATATTTTTCTATCTTATTTCACTTAACATAATACTTCTTAAGACCATCCATGTTGTTAGGAATGGCAAGATTTCATTTTTTATGGCTGAGTAGTACTCCACTGTGTATATATATCACATCTTTACCCATTCCTCTATCAGTGAACACTTAGGCTGCTTCCATATCTTGGCTGTTGTAAATCAATAATGCTGCAATAAACATAGGGGTTCATATATCTTTTCAAATTAGGTATTTGTTTCCTTTCACTAAATCTCCAGAAGTGAAATTACGGGATTGTATGGTACTCAATTTTTAATTTTTTGAGGAACCTCCATACTCTTTTCCATAGTGACGACAGCAATTTACATCCTCACCAATAATGCATAAAAGTTTCCTTTTTCTACATCCTTGTCAACACGTCATAGTTCTTGTCCTTTTTCTTTCTTTTTTTTTTTTTTAAGTAAGCTCTATGCCCATCATGGGGCTTGAGCTCATGACCCTAAGATCAAGAGTCACATGCTCTACTGACTGAGCCAGACAGATTCCCCAGTTCTTGTCTTTTTGATATTGGTCATCTGACTGGTGTGAGGTCTCACTGTGGTTTTGATTTGAATTTTCCTGATGATTAGTGATGTTGAGCATCTTTTTATGTGTCTGTTGGCCATGAGTATGTCTTCTTTGGAAAAATGTTTATTCAGATCCTCTGCCCATTTTTAAATCACATCATTTGGTATTGAGTTGTATGAGTTCTTTATATATTTCACATATTAATCTCTTACTGAATATCATTTTCTAATATCTCCTCCTATTCAGTAGGTCACCTTTTTTTTTTAATGATTCCCTTAACTGTGCAAAAGTTTCTTAGTTTGATATAGTCCCATTTTTTTTTTACTTTTTAAATTTTATTTTT